ATCACCAGTGATTTATGATATATAATTAGGTGTAATGTGTAAACTTTTTAAACAAAAGTTTATTTGTTTTGATATTAGGATAAGAATAATGGTTTGATAATAAAGTTAAACAAAATTTATAGTAAAATTTTGCAAGGAATTTTTTTTGTTAGAGCCCGAAAGGTGGTTTCATAGACAAATTTTGAGATATGATTGATTTTTTAAAAAATTCTTTGTTTTTATTACACAAAACTGATCTGCATATTACACCTGATCTTGCAAATTGATTGGCTAATTATACACTAGTGATGATCACCAGTAGTGATAAATAGCAAACTTCTTTATAAAATTAATTGGCTAAAATACAAGTTTAATTGAATTAGTTAAAAATTATTTGCCTAATTTTTATTAATAATAGCTATAAAAATTTTAAATTTGACTATTTAAGATGACTAAATTTTGAATTAAACAAATTTCTGTTTGAAATTTAATATATATTTAGGTTTAGTTAATTAGATTGCTAGATATTTAATAAAGGCTATTAATTAAAAATAGAACTTTTTTTTTTTTTAATTTGCTCAAGTAGATTTTACTAAAAAAGAGTATATGTGGCAAGTGTTTTAAATAAGAACTTTGTGGGTAAAGCAGTTTAATATTAAAATATAATATATATATAATAATAATTTTTAGAAAGTGTATTTATAAAGATATAAACTATTTCCAAATCGAAAGAAAATATAAATCAAACTTATAATTATATTAATTAAATGCTTAATTAAATGCTTTGTAACTCTAACTCTAAAAATCAAATCGGTGGATTTCATAATAATCTATTTTTAGAATTGCAAACTCTAATAGTGAATGCGAAGAGATCAAAATTAAGTTAAAAATTAATTATTACATTCTATATGAACTTTAGTTCTCAAAGAGAACTAAAAATATTTTACAGATCCGTAAGGTCCAAAATAAGTTAAAATTGATTGCCTTCCATATGAACCATAGTTTTTGCTGAGACATAATCATATCGTACAAATAATAATAAAGGCGTAATGCCCAATAATTGAACTTCAGAGATCTAATCGTGACATGATTTATTTCAAAAAAATCTATTGATTATCATTAGCGATACGGGTTTTCCTAGAATTTATGAAAACAGAGACTATAGTTCTGACAAAGTTGGTTGGTGTTGATAGCATTATAGATGTTTTCATAAATATGTGATAAATTAAAAATTTGGTCGTTACTCGAAATCTTTTTCGCTTCGTCCTATAAATCACATAACCCTCCGAGAAATTACATCACTGTCTCCGGACTGAAGGTCGATGATAGAGATGTAGTTCCGGAGAGTTAGGTAATTTTACAAGACGAAACCGAAAAGATTGGGTAACGAGAAATTTTTAGTTTGTCCTAGAATTTATGAGAACAATTGTAATAGCTAGGGTTTGTTAATGGAGTGGCATACTCCGAAGCAACTCCAGAGTGAACCCAATCCAAGTTGGAGTGGGTTAAAAATATGCGGAGTGAAACTGGGGTAAACTGGAGCAGCTATAAGCAAATCTGGAGTGGCTCCAGAGTGAGTCCAACCCAAGTTGGAGTGGGATGAAGATAGCTCAACCCAACCCATTAACAACCCTAGTAATAGCTATATTTAAATTATTTGTTACTCCGATGCTGACATCGGTGCTATTATTACTTTAAGATAATGAAGAAGTTAGGATCTGAAAATCTCAAGAATAATATATTTTTTAACCCTAATTATCGTGCAACATAAAAGTACGTGCGTAACGTAATTATCGTCATCATTGTAGACAGAAATCTTTACCACATTTGGGTGGTTAACATTAAAAAATCTGCGATTATTTAATAACCAATTAAAACAAGTCCCTAAAACCTATTTTTGAAGAGGTGCATTTAAAAAGCAAACGATCACCTTTGTTGTTAATATGTTTGTATTTCAAAAACTCTTCTCACAATTTTTCGATATTTAAATTTTTAATTCGATGGTAAACATAATTAAAGCGAATCAACGGGAGAAAGAAATAGATGCTGCACGATGCAAGGGTATTTTACAAAAAAATAATAAATTTTGTACAAAATTTTCGATGATTACCACACATAATGATTGCTTTCCGATAATTTTTCAAGGAAATTGGGGTGCGATTCCTGAATTAGCGAGAAAATATCGAAAGCATAGTCCTGATGGACTAGGTAGTTTGCTTTATTTTATTTATTTATTTCTTTATAATTTTATATTTATTGTTTTTTTGTTACTAATTGATAATATGATCAAATTATTTTTACAGTTTTAGAACAGACTGTATTGGCGGAATTAGCTTTAGTACAAGTGATTGAAAAAACTAAGGATGAAAAGGAAATTTATGATAACGATTCGCCCGATCATATTTCGATGCCCCCAACTGTTGATGAGTCTTTAGTCAGTGACGTATTTGCTAAATTAGAGTCGGCGCTTTCACAGGCTTCAGGACAAGAGAAAGAGGTGAGCCAATGCAATCTTCGATAGAAAGTGATAGGAACACCTTCACTTAAAAATTATTTAATAAGGTATGTCAAATTTCTTTTACGTTATAGTTTTGCAGATATAATGCAAAGTTTCTTATGACAATTTTTTTTTTTTTACTCAAGAATTGCTTTAAATCAAAATGGTGATGACTATTATGTTATGATCAAAACGTTAGTTCATTCGATAATTTTCTGACGAAAAGAAGGAATGATCCTTTTATCTACTACAATTATAGTACACTTCTATTGTACTAGCACGTACCTACTTCTCTGTGGGAAGATTTGACAAATGTATCCAGACTTTGAGTACCAACTTTGTTCCACCTCAAATACCGGTAGGATACAATTTCGTACTTATCATTCAAGGCCTAACTATAAAAGGTTTGTGAGAAAAATTTATACATTGAAGAATATTGGAATGATTGATTTATTACCAGAATGAATTTTATGAATTTCTCTTCTGTTATAGGAATGGCGCAAGAAACACTTGATGATTATGATGGTGCAATCTCTTGTTATGATCAAGTTGGCGCTTTACTGGCACAATATTCAGGTGAAGGACATGAACAATTGACAAATTGGACGGAAGAAGTTCTATATCGGACATCATTACTGAAAGTAAGATTGGGGTAAGAACAAGGATTTAATAACTTTAAGATTGTAACTTGTACTTTACAAACATAAAATTTCTATTTTGTTTACAGAGATGTTAATGGAGCACTTCAAGCCTTTAGAACATATCAACAATATTCCACTTCATGGGGTGAAAAATTCAGACTTCATAAGCGTGCTGTCATATTTATGAACTTTATAAAATTTCTTTCGAAGACGTACCAAGAAAAAGCTTATGCTCCGCCAAGTGCATCTACCGCATTTATACTAAAGTATGTAATTCATATAATCGAATATCTGGCTGGTATATAAAGTTCTTAATGTTGCAAATTATATGGACTATAAATACGTATTTTGCATGTAGCGAACATTCTGCTGTATATACACCGCATACGTTCCGCGTCGAGTTAACTGGACTGCATACACTATATGAGAGTGTATTATACCAAATAACGTCATTTCCCAAGGCTGGTGAAACAAATTGGAGAGTTTTGGAAATGGTTGATCAAATAATGTCTGATTGGGTTGTATTAAATGGTGGAACAACTGCAGAAATGCGAGGATTGATTGAGGTTAGCATATCTAGTAGTTTAGAAATTGCGTTTTGTTACCAATTATATGTAATAATTATTTCTTTGATTAATACAGATGCTTTATCGTGCTGCTCAAAGAACCTTTCAATCTCCAAAAATTCTACGTTATCTAACATTTACATTGAACACGCTTGGTGATTATGATGAAGCCGAGTTAGCTTTAGAAGCCTACACCGCATTGGTTGAGAAAATTAGGGAAACAAAAACAGCTGAAGTTTTTAAAGAGATTCCTTCTGCAGAGAATACACATGAAGATAAGTTTTCTGATAACGAAAGTATCGAGCATGTCGTGAAAGTATTGATTACTGGTTCAGAGATGATGGCAAAACATTTATGCAAGGTGTTTATATTATTTATATTATTTATTTGTATTCTTAAGGAATGGTTTTCTGTACACAAAATTTTATGAGCAATTATGATATATAGTCAAATGAAACTCTGGAATATGCACAAAAAGCCGTGACCTGGTGTGAAATTGACGATGATTTTGTGGATAATAAATTGTTAGCTCATGCTTGGCGCTGTGTTGGTGTTGGCTACAGTTTAACTGCACGTGAAGGTTGGTTTATTTAATTATTGTCGCATTTTTAATCTGAGATATGAATTATTTCGAAAACCGTTCTTGTTGTACTTTCATATTTTATCACCAATAGTAATGGATCCAGAGAACCGTCCTGATCTTCACTCCAAATCAATCGAAGCTCTTGATAAGTCGATATCATTTGATCCGGATGCTTTTGAAACGCATTATCTTTTGGCCTTGGAATATGCAATTACAAGAGACATTAATAAAGCAACTGCTTGCGTGCGACAAGCTATAGTATTAGAAAATGAGAGCATTCCTTGCTGGCATTTACTTGCCCTTCTCATGTCCTCTCAAAAAGATATTCAAGGTGCATTGAAAGCATGTGAAATGTTTTTGAACGAAACGGATTTAGAGAATGCGGATTCGTCCATTGATGATGGTGAAGAATTTTTATCTTTTAAATTAACACAAAACGCCTTGCAAGAGTTAGCAAACGGTCCTGAAACTGCGATACAGAACCATGAAAAGCTTTTCACTTTATATGCAAAAATGTTTCCTGAATATACTTTGATATCTCCAAGTGACCTCCCATATGATTCACCTAGTTCACGGAAGCATGATGATACTCAAACACAAACCGCACAATCACCAAAACCTGCAACTAGTTTACGAAACTTTCCAAGCATCATTGAAAAGAAAGATGGGGATGAAAGTACTGACGGATCCATTTCAAGCATTGGACTAGGAAACAAAGACACACTTGGTAAATTGGCTAAGATTGATGATTTACATACTTTTCACCTCTTACAATAAATTATTAAATTATAAAAAAAAAAAAAAAATTATAATACATACTATTAGAGGTTCCCAAGGCAAATTATGCATCATCAATCGCGTCTTCCAGGAACTCAGCATCATCTCGTCGTAGTACAACACCCACAATTTCTGGTATTCCGTCTGCTAAATCGGTTACATCATTTACCATACCCTCACAACCAGTTCTGAAAATGCGGCAGAGAAAACAACGAGCCACTAAAAGTTTAGTAGATTTATGGCTTTCTTCTGCAGCGACCTTTCGTCGTCTTGGCAACTTAGAAGAAGCACAGAAAGCCATAGAAAGTGCTGAAGAGACTGATAATTCTAATCCGGATGTATGGTGTCAGGTACCATATAACATATCTATTTTACTTGTTAATATCAACATTGGTGTATCTATTGATAAATAAATATAACTTTGCAGTTTGGTTACTTGCTTTCTATTCAAAAGCAATATGCTGATGCGATTACATCATTTCATAAAGCTCTTGCAATTGATGGAAGTCACGTTCCAACTCTTATTCATTTAGCAAGAACTTATCTTGAAACAGACAATATCGATATTGCGGAAGGCCTTCTCGAGAGTGTTACTAAGGGCAATGGTTGGGACTGTGCAGAAGCTTGGTACTTTATTGTTTTCTTCAGATATTGTTTTTATCATGAATTTGATATC